ATTAAAAACAACACTTGCGCTACACGAAAGTGGTAGGTAAGGAGCCAACGGATTATAGTTCGCTAGTTCAATTTTGAAGTATTGGAAGGTAAGTTGATTACAAAGTAAATTTAAAAAACCTTCTCTAGAAATGTTGCAAACGACCAGTCTCTCCCGTCCCCCAAACAAAATAACCTTCTCCATGATTGATGTGGATCGTAAGAGGAGTTAATCTACCGGCCACGAGGGGCTAGTGCCACTTCAGAATCATTTGAATATACAAACTTTATCATTTTTTTTGTTTTTATAATTGATTCTATTAAAAATATTATCTTGTGTAAAAAAGTATCAAGTTTGAATTAATACTTAATAATTTAAGAAAAAATGTAAAATATAAATTATTAGATCGCAAGGTAAAATTTCACAAAAAATGCTCAATTTTTTAATCCCCAATGATATAACACAGTTGGTAGATAAAAAACATTACACACATTGTTAAATAATGTTTGTTTAAAATAGTGTCCCCCTTAGTACGATTCAATTTTATGTTATAGTAATATTTTTTCATGGAAATCATTTGATCTCCTGTGCCAATAAGCGTTGCTGATTAGTTTGTTGTTGGTGTTATTCTTATTGTTGCGGTCGTTTATCTTGTTGTTGTTTTTGTATTTGTTGGCATTTTTATTGTTGTTAGGGTGGTTACCGATAGTAAAAAAAAAAAAAAAAAAAAGTAAAACATAAAAAAAATACTAATATTTGCTACCAATTTGATGTTTTTTACCTTAGTTCTGTTTTTTATTTTATTATTAACTAGGCTACCAGAGTGGCCCGGTGTCACTTGCCCGCCCGGGCCAAAAAAAATAAAAATAAAAAAAATATTTTTAAACTTTTATTTTTATTTTAAAATTGGTAAAGAATTTCGACGTGATGCTGAGACAAAAGTTGTTCAGTTTATTTTTTTGCATAATATAGTTTTTTTTCGGATTTTGATTTTTTTGTTTTTTTTTTTTGTTTTTTTTTTGCTGGGAGTCCTTGCACGGGCTAGCCACCCGGAACCCGGGCGGCCTAGATTATTAATATATTTTAATTAAAAAAATCATCGTCAAATATATAAGCGTAATTTGTCTCACATCTTTGCAGAGATGGTTAACAAACGCCTAATTTTTTAAAGAGTTTGTCACACAATTTATAACAAAACCCATAGGTCATTTTAACAACGTTTCCCACCATCTCATAGAGTTACGTAGTTGCACGTTGTCGAGAGCATCGGTCCGCTCATAATAACCCCCTACGCTTCCGCTGCGCGAACACCCGTCACGTCTTACCTACAACTTTCATACTCTCTGCGACCGTCCTCCTTATTGTTGTCAACCCGTCTGAATCTCGCAGTCAAGAGAGGTGGCGACGAGCATCAATAACTGGAATTGGCCCACCTTTTCCACTTTATACATATTGCTTCGCACGCGTGGGCTCCGCCAGCCTCCAGTGGCTCGTTCCAAGTCTAACGGATGTCCCGACGGACTCGCCCCGCGGTCCTATTACTTGGCCCTACAGGCAGAGAAAACATCATACGGCCAAGGATAAGGAAAGGTCCTAGCAAAAAAAAAAAAAAAAAAAAAGTGTTATGCAAAAAAATAAACTAAACAACTTTAATCTCAGAGTCGCATCAAATTGAAGCTCAAAAATATATTTATTTATTTATTATTGACTCGGACGTGCAAATGGCCCTACGCCACTCTGGTAGCCTAGCTCAATTTTTTCGCTAAATTTGTCAAAATTCATTTTTTTTTTTTTTTCTTCATAAATTTTCACTGAGAAATTTTTAATACTCCAAAAGATATAAAATATGGCACACAACAACCTTAAACCAAAACAAAAACAGGCGAAAAATAAAAAATCAAATTTCATGCGCCAACCCTAACTTCAATTTTAAATTCGTTAACCCAAAAGTTCAAAAGTCAAAAACCCTATTAACTACTCGTACTGTTTTGTTGCACTTTCTAATTGATATTTTGACAATATATATTAAGTGTTACATTTGAAATGCCAATTTTCATCGAGAGGGGATATTTGTGTACTTTTAATTGATATTTGGTTTATAGGTCAAAGAGATGTTGAATCGAGAGGGAATATTGATATACTTTTAGTTGATGTATGACGACTAGCATCAACTAGTTGCCATGTTTTAATTGATGTTTTATTTATTGGTTGCATCAAGTTCCTAACTTTTAGTTTATGTCTCAGTTTATACTTGCGAGATGTGCGGGAAACTGATTCAAAAATGAAAAATATGAATTTTCTCTCCAACCGATAATACCAGAGCATGTCAGAGTGAAACCTTAGCCAGGATGGCATTTTCAGTTACCTCTATAAAGAGAAATCCAAAACCGACTTTTGTAGCATAGTATAAATTTATAAAACCATTTGGCCTTGCCTTGTGTAATCGTATATATACTATCTACTTGATTCGCTGCTTAAATGTGTTGTTCCATTATGCAATTCGATAGCGGAATTAAACCCCCTCCTTTGTGGATTGGTGAACAAATAATGAAATTTATATAAATATCTAGGTTGTTTTTTCGGGCGCCTACGCCACCAACATGCGCCCTGATACACACTCGGATGCACGACCGGGCATGACCCTCGAACAACATTCAACGCAAAAAAAAAAAAAAAAAAAAAAAAAAAAAAAAAAATCCAAAAAACTAAATATGTTGTGTAGAATTGCAATACAAACAACATTTCGTTGAGGGTTATATCAAAATTCATCACTGGATCAAAGATTTAAAAAAAAAGAAAAATCACACTAAAGGATTTTCCGTCCATCCCCCTTAACCCCTTTAAAAATAATTTACACCCTCTTTCCTCCCCTTAACAACCAACTCTAAAAAAATGAGAAGAACCCGGGTCCTCTGCGAGAGCCCAAAAAGACAATATATATATAGGGTTACCAGCCTAGACGTACGGAGGCCCCTGGGTGGACCTCTATAAGTTCGGGCATGATACTTGTTATATTCGAATACAATGTGTACGTTTTCTATTCGAGGAGCGTTGCTATTCGCGAAAAGTTCGTAGCCCTTAGGTTGCGGTATAGTGGGCTTCCGCGTCTGTGTCAAGGTGTCGCATTTTTGGCGGCGGGCGACCAGGACGCAAAGTGGGTTCTCAGGGGGCAAAAAAATTTGGGGGACAGGTCCTTGCCAAAATTGCGGACTACCTACAGATAGCTCTGGTAGAACCGGGACTTTTGGAAAAACGAAGAACCGGTCCTCGGGTAGAAGCGGACCCCCAAAAGAAGTGAGGGCATGTGAACTGCAAAAGGGCCCTCAGGCCCAGGTGTTGAGCCCCGTCTTCTCAAAACAGGGATTTCAGGCACAACGAAACAGAAGTTTTGCAAGAGGCAACTTTGATGATTTTTTGTGCTCAGACTAACATGCAAAAAAATATGAAATTTTGAGAATCCATAGATGAGGTCGTGTTCTTTCCAGAAATAATAATAGAACATTTACAAAAAATCATTTAGACTGCAAAATAATCGTCACGCCGATTCAACACATTTTTCATTTTTGCCACTCAACCATGCCTGGGCCAACTAAAAAAGTACTCCAAATTCAGTGAGTTTTCACGCTCAGAAGAATGCATGAAAACACCTGAAAATTGGAGTACTCGTAAATTTTGTTGTGATCTTTCCAGGAAAAAACGCTACATAAATTAAAAAAAATCATTCCAACTCTCTCTTATTTTGTTGCGAAATAGACTGCGGCCTCAATTTGACCCATATTTCAATTTTGCCATTCAGCCTCTCTCTCTCTCTCTCTCTCTCTCTCACACACACACACACACACTCGTATCAACAAATGCAAAAAAACTCTCTTTCTCTCTCTCTCTCTCTCACTCGTATCAACAAATGCAACAAAACTCTCTCTCTCTCTCTCTCTCTCTCTAGTAGGCCTCCCCCCTCCCTCTCTCTCTATTTCTTTCTCTCTCTCACACTCATAACAATAAATGGAACAAAACTCTCTCTCTCTCTCTCTCTCTCTCTCTCTCTCTCTTGTGTTAGCTCTTAGTCTCATTGTTAGGGCTGTGTTCCCTGCGCCCACGCGGTAGACAATGCACCTGCACCGTTTCAATTTTGAAAATGGCTTAAGGACCTCGGCCTCCTACAGGTAATGACCTCGGCCTCCTACAGGCAGCTACCGGTCCTACGCGTTCCTGGCCCTTGCAAGGCCCCAAAACCTCAAATGGCCACCCTTCGGACGACCACTGATGTTGAAATTGACGTTGAACGTTGAATGTCTCAGGGGGGGGAAACGCATACCTGACGGGCTGCGAACTGCGAATAGGAGTCGCAGTTACTGGCAACATTCCCGGTAGTTGCATTAGCTGACCTCCCCAACTGCTGATTAGTGTGGAGTGCAACCGGCTTCCCCTTGATTCTGAGAGGCACCTATGCTTGCAGGGGTCGCCTGTATAGGATCACGAGTAGAGGCAGGGAGGTGCTAAAAGGTGACTGTCAGAGAAGAATACTTTCGGTTTCATGTGCGAGCTATTCAGCCATGGGGGTCGATCGAACCCTCCGTCTAAGCAGAACCATACGAATGCACTAACGTTATAAAAAGGAAATACGTTATAAAACGGAAAATAGGTGAATCCCTTTGGCTTGGTTCATGCTTTCTGAGAACGGCCATGGGACCAGCCCGCCACGCCTGGGGCTGAGCAGGGCTATAGCTCTAGGTCCGCGGGTTCTCCTTTGCTCCGAAATCACGAATATGGTTGAAAAGCTCTCTAGATTCCTTCACATGCTTGGTGCCAGTAGGCCGTTAGCACCGTTCAGCTTATTAGCGCGCCGTCATCAGACGGCGATCTCTGGTCTAGTCTAGTCAAGTGGGCTGCGCACCCGGTTGGTCGTGCGTAGGGAAACTACAGGGGACTTTTCGAAGGGTAGGAGAGACAAAGGGTACCCGCTCGTTTCTCGATTCGGATTCCGAAACTTACAGAGGCCGTTTTCCGGCGCCCAGGTCAGGCGTCGTCACTTGAACTTGACTTCTTTTCCTCAGAGGGTGGTCGTTCCGTTGCCACCAGCGTTCGCGAGGTGCTTACCTTCTTCTGCTTCCTGGCAATCAACTATTAGGCGTTGCCGTGAGGGTATTGTTATTGTGTTGTGATGCAATCAATCATCGTTCCGCCTTTTGTTTCTGGTTAGCACATGTCTTGCTGCCCGCCTCCGCACGCAATCGGTCTGTCGGCTGGACCTTCCTGACTTCGGCAAGTGTCATTACTGGCGGCGCCGTGTGAGAGATTACTGGTGTCCGTCGGTGGTGCTTGGAGTTGTCGATCGCGGTGTTTTCGAGGTAGGAGCTTGCACTGAAGTGGTGTGCGAAAGTGAAGGTGTGTGTCGGGCTGGCTTTTGCGGATGCCGGGCTCCAGTGGTGTGAGTGTAGAGAGAAGAAGCGTCTTGTGGGCTTCTCGCGGCCACACTAAACGGGACCTATCTGTTCGGTCTTCGTTCATCCATAGCTGCTGAAGATTATCAAAGGAGGGCAAAGAGCAGGTTGCACAGTTCTGACCCTTCTGCAATTTTGCTCTGCAGAGTTGAGGTTCGCTCGGGTAACGTGTTAGGTGTTAGGGACGGAGGGATTTGCCGAGGGATTTGACGATTGGTAGGTAAAGGGTACAAGGCCGAGAGAAGGCAAGGGAGTGAAAGAGCGGGCAGGGGATTCGGGAAAGGGAGGGTTAGCGCGGCAGTTGCATGAGACAGCAGGAGGGTTGGTGAAGAACTATGAGGGTGTTGAAATTGCAGTGAAACAGCCCGCCTCCTGCAAGGAAGCGAGGCGGCGGCACTCCGACATCATCTTGGGTCTTTCCTCTCTGCGGCATCATCTTCTGCCATCCTGTACGCCATCGTCTGTCGCGCACTTTAAGGTAAAGTATCAATCGAAAAAGTTAATTTACTTCTCCATTTCTTCTTTCGCTATTGTCAACCATAAGTTTGCTGATGACGACTTCTCTTGGCAGTCCTGTTATGGGTGTTTCCGTGTCAGCATAGCTGCTGCGGGTGCACCACTCCGTCTTCGACATCTTCAGTGTTTCTTACCAAATCCCTTCTACTTCTTGTGCTGATTCCTGGATGGGAAGAATGCTTCATGAGTGCAGAGTTACTCAAATACATTGGAGGTCGTAGGGGCGGCGTCCTACAACAGACGTACTCGACCTATGTTCTTTTGACATTTTCATGAGCTAATTCTCAATTAGGGTAGAAGCGTTGGGATGGGAGGAATCGTGAGCTTTCGTGGAGTGTTTAGTCAGGGTAGAAGCTTTAAGGCGGGAGGGTTCGCCCTGGCGGGGTAAGCGGCAGGGGGGGGGCACTGAGAGATGAGGTGGGAGTTCAAGTATACGGGCGGAGCCAGCGCTGATTTCGAGAGCCAGTGTTAATTTCGAGATTAGAGGGGATAGCAAAGGGATAGCGAAAAGGCGGTAGTCCGTCCGAAAGTTGTAGGAGAGTGAATGGGAGGAGGTGCTCGGTGGATTGGCGGCGTGCGGTACAAAGAAGCGTTGAGAGGGAAGATAAGAAGGGAAGGGGGTGTAAGGCGTAGAATCCATGAAGAGAAATGAAGAAGGGATGGCGAGAAAGAGTGAGGAAGGCAACGCAGGGAGTAGGGTAATGGGATGGTGCTCTGTCCGAAGTGTGGGGAAAAGTAATCGGGGAAGTAGATACTGGTTGCACTGGCGGAGGGAAGAGAGCAGGGGCACTGCAAGAAAATAAGGGAGAGGGGCAGAATCCATGAAGAGAGCTGAGAAGGAACGCAGGGATGGGGAGAAAGGAGCTTCGAGAGAGCAAGGTAACGCAGTGAGAAAATGTAGGTCGCTCCTATCGTGTGAAGGGAGGGTCAGGAGAGCTGATTAGCGAGATCATTGAAGGTATTAGAAGATGGGAGATGGTTGTGAATCAGGGAAAGCGACTGACTGCAATAAGAGCGGACGGAGCAGCAGGGCCATTGTGGGAATAGCAGGTGGAAGAGGAGCTGATGGCGAAGGAACTGCAAATCGCGGTAGGAAGAAAGGAAGGGGGGGAGAGAGAGAGAGAGAGAGAGAGAGAGAGAGAGAGAGAGAGAGAGAGAGAGAGAGAGAGTTGGGAAGTAGGGAAATTCGAATTGGTCATGAATGCCTGGTTGGAAACCAACCCGGCAGCAGGCGAAATGGGTAACTTTGGGTGGTTTGTTCTGAGTTGAGGTGATAAGGGTGTTGGTCTTCTTTATCCGTTGTGTACATCGTGCTTTCCCTTTTTTTTTGTTTGCTATGTTTTTTGGTATCTTCTTCATGCTGTTAATCTGTTGAAGAATGGATGGTTTTCTTGCCGCCTGATCTAATGCGAGTGGGACGGTCGTCGTCGTTTCTCGCGTGCGAAATGGAGAGAGAAGGGAGGGCGGGAACGCACGAGTGGAGATGCTTCCGTTCAAGTCCACCTACTTCTCTAGGGAGACCCCAGCTGGAGCGCTGTCACGGTCATGGTTGAGGGGATTGCTTGCCAATCGTGGGCGAATGGATGGAAGAGAACCAGAAATTGAAATGGGAAGAGAAGAGAAGAGATGTGGAAAAGTGGGCGAGAGGGCGTGTATGCGTAATTGTCTTGTTAAGCGTGTGCTTAGCTATGGAGGGAGCCTCATGGAGCTATGGAGGGAGCGTTGGAGCTATGGGAGCATGGAGCACAGGAAACCTTGGTTTGACCTAACAGCTCTCCCATCGGGTCCCCCCCCAATTGCCTTGTTTCCCCCCTCCCCTCCCTTCCTTCCCCTTATATTAATTAGTTATTTGTTTCTCTTGTTCTTTGTTCGGCTCTTTTTTCCGCTCCCCCACTTCTTTTATTCCATCCCTCGCATGTTTCATCTGTTCGGCCTACCTTATTTTTCTTCTTCTGGCTTCTTCCTCTTGTCGCTCCGTATATCCTACTTCCATCCTCCGGCTTACCCCCAGTCGAGCTGTTTCAGCCTCCTCCTACCTATTTAGGTCGTTGATTTCACCTACTTAGAAACATGCACTGGCGCCGGAGTGTACCCCCTCTTTATTATTATTTGCGCCTGCTCCCCCTCCTAATTCTTCCAGCATGGCGACCTATTTCAACCCCTCCTCTTTCCTGCCTCTCTATTTGCTCCCATACTGCCGACTCTGTTGGCCAGTTCAATCGTCCTCGCTATTCTTGTGATATATACCCCTCTCAAGACAGCGTATCCGTCTAGAAGGGGACATAAAGTCTCAGCTCTGCTTCGTCTCCTTTTTGTGAAAGGCTTGTCCTTTTTTGAGCGGGAAAACCATCCTTCCACGAGGCCGATAATAACATACGAGCCTCCCTCTCTTAACAGGAAAACCATCGTTCCATTGTCCCATATTGTCGAGGCTTTCTCCCGCGCAGTCCATCTCTGGCAGTCTTATGCTAGGATGAAGTTTACGTAACGTATAAGGATGAGCGGGGTAGAGGACAGCACTGTTTTCTCACACACTTGTTCGACCCCCACACTGTTGTTGTCTGCCCGTTTAGTAAACTCACTGGAGGCGCTGCTCCGTCCGCGATACCGCGGGATGGCTCGCGCATTGAGCGTTCGGGAACAGTTCTTGCATGTTTTGGCGGGCTCAAAACGGGAATTAATGAATCAATGGCTCTTGTAATGGAATATACCTTATAATGCATCAAATCAAAATGTGAATGAATCGGAAGAAGGAGAAATGACTAACGAGTGCCCATTGAAGCAATGGGTGTGTGAAATACGACGACGTGTTTGATGTGGCGCATGATGCACAATGAAAGATGATGTGACGATGTATGATGTAATGTTGTAAAGATGACGATTATAATGGCTATGATAAAGAGAACGAGGATGCGGCGGAATATGGGGGGGGTCTAGGGGGGCGTAATGGGTGATAAAGAGGACGAGGATATGGCGATTGTGGGGGGGTCTAGTGGGGGTGGAAGAAGGATGTATGGTTGTGAAGGTTACGATTGTAATGGGTGTGATAAAGAGAACGAGGATAAAGAGGATGCGGCGGAATATGGGGGGGGGTCTAGGGGGGCGTAATGGGTGATAAAGAGGACGAGGATATGGCGATTGTGGGGGGGTCTAGTGGGGGTGGAAGATGGATGTATGGTTGTGAAGGTTACGATTGTAATGGGTGTGATAAAGAGAACGAGGATATGGCGATTATGGGGGGGGGTTGTAGTGGGGGGTAATGGGTATGATAAGGAGGATATGGCGATTATGGGGGGGGTCTAGTGGGTGGGGGTGAAGGACGGTCGCAGTTGCGAGTGATATGTGGTCGGCGACGGGGATGAGGGCGAGAATACACTGATGGCGACAATGTCACTGTGATGTTACATTGCCAGTGCGGCGATAATGATGGTGGTGATGATGGTTCTCTCCGTAATTGGTGCGACGGCAAAGGGGATGAAGAAGACGGTGGGGAACACTATGAATCACCGAAGGTTGAGCATACGAGAAGAAGATGAGGAGTCTTGGGTATGGTGGTGATGATGGGGATATGCTTTCTGGTTGCCTCTCTCTCTCGTTCACCGCGGAGCACTGTTGCGTCAGGTTTGAGTACTCGAAATTTGCTGACAGTACGCCTAACCCTCGTCCCCATTTTATTATTACCCTCGTACTGAACCCTGACCACAGCACACTTCTCTGTCTGTCTGTTAAGCTTGTTAGAAGACAATCTGACGGGTTTGAACGAGGAAGAGGGACGGGGATGTTTGTTCTTTTCAAATTTGCCCCCAGTGGTTTCTGCCAGTGGTGGTGATGATTGTTAGAAAGTGGCAGAAACGACAGGAAGCTGGTCAGAATGAGGTGAGGAGGAGAAAAGGGGAAATCTGCTGCTGCTTGCGGTACTTGTGTTTTCCCGTTTGCTCGTAGTTGTGTTGGTTGGTGTTACTTCTTTTCCGTTGTTATGTTTTCCTTGCCTCTGCTTCTCGTTACCTGGTTGTCTTTTTTTGTGCTGGCTCCTCCTGCATAGTACTCGCTGTGATGTCATGGAAAGCAGATGGGACTGACTGGGTTTCAATGCAGCCAGCCAGGCGGTGACATAATACAAAGCAGCAGCCCATCATGAGTCGTTCAAGCAGGACGATTTACGTCGGCAATCTTCCAGGAGACATCAAGGAGCGCGAAATAGAAGATCTGTTCTACAAGGTACGGCGGCAGCTTGCTCTCGCCAATTCCTTCTGGCCTATCATCGTTGTTTTAAGCTCTCTCTCTCTCTATATGGTCTCTCGCTGTATGACATACGAAATTTGGAAACTGGTGCCTGTATCTTCAGCTGGAAGGTGCTTTGAAATACGCGCGCAAATCGCGTCCGTGTTTCTCGCATTTGGCAAGTCGCGCAGTGAGACCTATAGTCAGCGAAACACTCATCAAGGAACAGCCTGTTGCACGACGCAGTCTCTTGCTCTCTTCTCCTTCACCGCTTGCGGATCGCTGGGGCAGTTCTCTGGGACAGCTTACAAAGAAGAACGCATGTGCGTGCGCATTCAAATTTCCTGTTCGATGTCGTTTTGTTGAGATTGATCGTCATCGTCGGTATGTTGGTACGTTCGTTGGAAGTCTGTATTGGTTCGTTTTATTCATACCCATTATTGTATCTTGATGAAACGCAGCTTGGGTATTAAAGTGGGAATTCTATCGGGTGGTCGTCCAACCATCCGAAGTCTCCGTTGGCTGATGCACGTTCGACTGACTCATTGTTATCTTACCTACCCTCCACAGCTCATTAACGGGAGGGAGGGTATTGATGAGACGTAGTTTAGCTTGGGCAGTAAACAGTCGGAATGCTATTTTGTGGTCATCCGACTAAAGAAAATCTCCGTTGGCTGACGTAATCCGTCCGAGTCACGCATGGTTATTTTACGTACACTCTTCACAGCTCTCGCTTAGAGGAGGGAGGGGAAATTAGTGAGTGAATGCTGATATGGGCTTTTCGCCGGATTGGTCGTCGACGCTCAGTTCTAGGTCTCTCCTGAAGTGTTGAAGTTTTCCTCACTGCCGATTGTCTGCAACGGCTCTGTGGACACAAAGACGTGCTCGCACATTGGAGGCTCTCAGGGGGTGAGAAAGGAGGGATCTCTCAGGCAGCTATACGCGGCTGTTATGAGATCGAGAGCATCGCCTACTGACGAAGGACTCCGTTGCAATTACTGTAATTTAATCCGTGGGCAGCCCTTCTTGCACCACAGGCTGACCCTTCGCGTGTAGGCTTTTAGTGTTTTGCGGAGTCTATAGACAGTAGTCCTGCTCGAATGCAGATCCGGTGATGACCCTTGCCTTGGAAGAATACCCTCCTCTTGGACCCCATCGTTCGAACATTTTATGGGTGCTGTGTTCGCTCTGTTGGTTGTGGGTTTTGGGTGCGTCGCCACACGAACCTAAGTAGTGCTCTTACCGCCCTTGCCTTGGAACAATACCCTCCTCTTGGACCATCGTTATAACTTTTTATGCGAGCTGTGTTCGTTTTGTTGGACCATAGGTAGAACTTGTTATGGGAGTTGTGTTCGTTTGTTGGTTGTGGTTGTTGGGTGATCCGTCACACGAACCTAAGTAGTGCTCTTGCGGGTATACGATGTGACGGCGGGGAATTCGAAAAGGCGCAGTCGCTGTCTTTCGAGGATTGGAAGGCAGCTTTCCCAACTTAGGCTCGTGTGAACTGGTGGCTGAGTGCAAGGAAGACGAATATTCAAGGGTGGGGCTATCCTCTTTTAAGTCGCGCAGCAGAGTTTTCGAGGCGGGATTATCCTCTTATGATGCGATAATGAAAAGAGCGTCCGTCGAAATGCGGATGGAGGGACATCCGTTCAGGAGAGTGCATTCAGTTCGTGGAACCTTTCTAGGCTTATTGGTGAGGTCAGTCGTGATGCAGGAGTGCTCTCGTCGCTAGTAAGAGTACTTGTCTTTTCTTTTTTTGTTTCTTAAGTGAGGTTATGACGGGTCGCCTTTTCGTCTACTGCATGGTCGTATTGCCTCGGCGTTACAGTTTTTCTCTTCGAGATAATAATCGGCCATCTGCACATTGACAGGATGGGGTAAAGTAAGCTGGAATGGAGCTCTACCGGCTTTTGGATCTCTGCAGCTGAAATCTTCGGAGCATTATGACCCATTCATTAAAAACTTTTTTGGTTACTTGTGGCAGATTGTTTACTTTTAGGCTGGATTGGATGTCAACCTGTGGAAGCACCCTATGTGAGAGCACTTGTTACGGCTGAATAGAACGTTTTTCTACGGTCTATCTTTGCCTTTGCAGAATGGGTACTTGGGATGTCCATTGCGGTTAATTTGTGGGTGTCTATCGCGCATCCTTCAGTTGTGTCACCCTCGTCAGACGAGCGCACACACATACACACACACACACGCAGAGCAACTAGTGGGAATTGTAATGTATCTTGTGATTGTTTTTCCTACCTTGTTTAGCATGCTTTTCGCTGGTTACTGTGTGCGGAGTGGGGTCTTGAACGCATGGTGTTCATTTGCAAAACTGTGTGTGCAGTGAGGTCTTGACCGTATGGTGTTAATTTGCAAAAGCTCACTCCAGAGAGCACGATGCTGCTGTATGTTTATGATTTCTTGATGGTGTTTCTAGCTTCTGCCTTTATTAGAGAAGGTAAAGATTAAGTTCGGATGGAAGTTTGACTGGCGGGAGAAGGCAATGGTGGGTGTTTGGTGGGTAAGAGTTGATTGTAGCTGTCACATAGAGACACACGTCTTCAGACTTGTCACGTTTCGCTTGGCAGTCTGTCCAACCGAGTTTTGAAATGGAAGGGTAGTTTAAGATCTTGTGATAATTCAAAAATCTTGAAATAATAATGTGATGATGGACGTGAAAACTGTATTTCACTTTGAGAACTCGCTGCTGTCTCCTGCAATTTAATGAAGATCCGAACATTATTTCATCCGCTAACTGTTTTATCTCGTTTGCGTGTGTATGCTGCGCTTCGGTTTAATTGTGGGTTACTGTGTGATCAGTACGGTCGCATCATCGACATTGATCTCAAGCTCCCGCCGCGGCCACCTGGATACGCATTCATCGAGGTAAGAAGTGTCCTCTATTTGGCCTGTAATCACTGCTCCTCTCATGTCGTACGGTCATTTTTGCTGGATCTATGCTGAAAGTTGCCCTAAATACGGCTATAATGACCGTACGTTCTATTCGGGGGAAGACGGTATTTGTGTCGGTTGAGTTAGGGTCTGATCCGACTACGAACTTTTACGGAAAAGTGGTAAAAGTACCGAAAAAGCTGCTCCCGCGCCACGCGGGCCGTAAAAGAAAATCGGGACTCCAATCTCCCGTTTCCTTCGGAGCTTGGACGCAGACCACGGCGGCTTTCGTTGGGCGGTTCTGAAACGTGGCTCTTCCGACGGACATGGCCTGGACCCATTTCTATATTTTCTTCCGACGGACATGGCCTGGGCGGTTCTGAAACGTGGCTCTTCCGCCACCTAACGGACAAACCAAAAAAAAAAAAAAAAAAACCAAGAAAACGGCTCCAGGTTTTTCGCGGAAGGGTACGGGTCGACCACTCTTCACATTTCGGTTCTTCCGACGACTTTTTCGGCGCCGTTCCTTCCCAGAGCGCCACGACTACAAATGTTTCCACATACCCCTAAGTCGACGGGGCCGCCTACGACTTCGGAACACACTGGGATCCGTGAAAAGGCACTTTTTTACTTACGGTATGTATAGTCGGATCAGACCCTTAGTTTACGTCTGGATTGCCAACCCCAGCGGTTTCAATTTTTGACATGGCTTGGACCTCCGTAAATCGTTTCAGGTGTCCCTCTTGTCCAGAGCAAAGAGGGAGGAAAAACTTAACGTGGGAAGGGAGGGTGTTTTTACCTTATTCGCCTCTCAGTAGTAGGTTGCTACTGTAGTTGCTGTTACATTCTAAAAGGGTTTTTCGTTGTGGTGCGTGTGAATGAATACAACAGTTGATTAGTCGGTTCTTGTTTTTTATTTTTATATAAAGGTATTATAACGGTAATGAATATAATGAGGAGATGAGGCATTTTTATGTAAAAGTATTATTATGGTAATGAATATATGAGGAGATGAGGCAAATGCAGGATACATTGATATGAGGAGATCAGGCTTCAGGAGTGTATGAAGCTGATTGTTCGTCTGAGCTCTTTTGTCTTGCGAGTTCTGACAAGATTTCACCTTGATTAGAGATGTAACGTAATGTTGGGGCCAACCAAGGGGCGGAGACGAGCGAGGGATCTGGTCGGAGGAGGGTTGCTGGTGATTGAAAATGCTCTCACAAATCCCATTTTTTTTTTATATTCTTTATGTCTGATGTCGTTTTCCGTGTTTATTACTGGTCGACGTGAAAGCAGCAAATGCAGGCTACAGTGATTGGGAGATCAGTCAGGCTTCAGGAGTAGTGTGTGAAGCTGATTGGCTGATTCGAGTTGTTTTGTCTTTCAGCTCTGGAGTCGAAATGTAATGCTGGGGCTAAACCAAATGCTGGGCCCAAACCAAATCCTGGGGCCAAACCAAAGGGCGGAGAGTAGCAAGGGTTGTTGGTGACAGGGTTTTGCTGGTGATTGAAGAATGCTCTCGTTTGATGTTGTTTTCCGTGATTTGTTATTGGTCGTTTGTTGATCGTGGCGCGGTTTGGGCCGCAGTTTGAGGATGCCCGTGATGCCGAAGATGCCATCAGGGGACGTGATGGATATAACTTCGATGGCAACCGACTGCGGGTAAGTTCCCGCTCCAAGAGTTGCGCTTAAAATTATCTTGTTTTGTTGCTCTCGTTTTAATTGGATTTTCTTTGGTTGCTCGTTCAAATAATCACGTTCTGTTGCTCGTTTGTGTGCTGCGTGCAAGAGCACGAAAAGCTATGAAAAGTACGCTGCTGAGTTTCGAATGAACGTCCGGCAAAATGTGCAAGCAATCGTCGTTGCTGAATGGAGGGAAGGGTATTGGTTGGTTGACCAAAATGGCAATGACGGGAGACTGGTCAGACGAAGACGAGTTTCAGCGGATGTCTCCGATTTGTGTGTTGCTTGACAGGTGTCGGATGCCGTCCTGTTTCTGCTTTGCCTGGGCACCTAGATTTATGTAGTATGAGCCGAAGTGGCAGTGGTTATTGCGATCCTGCTGCTGGTAAAAAGGCTTTTCAGTCACCATGCCCTATTGTGTTGGAACTCTGTCAGTTGATCCGCCACACGTCGATTCATCTACGACTTGTTGGCTCAATTTTGAGATACTGGTAGCTACCGTTTTGTTTGTTCGATTTTGAGAAACTGTAGGCTACCATCTTCGCCTTAATAGAATGTACCTGCATTATGGCTGCATTTGTGGCAACGTGCAGTCTTAAACCGCCAGTACATGGCCCCAGGCAACTGGAGAACCTATTTTTAGCCTCTCCGAAAATTGAGGAGACCGAGCGCCGTAGATAAAATGAATCGGCAGTAGGCGGCCGCCGAAAGGGGCCTGCGTCCGATAACTGGCATGTACTGTAAGTGCCTGAAAAGAATGCACGGGCTCCGAAAATTGAGGAGACCGAGCGCCGTAGATAAAATGAATCGGCAGTGGGCGGCCGCCGAAAAGGGCCCGCGTCCGATAACTGGCATGTACTGTAAGTGCCTGAAAAGAACGCACGGGCGTTGTAGCTGCATTTGGGGCACTTGCATGGTGATAATGACCGTGTGACGTGCGTTCTACTCAGGTGAAGATGGGCGCTCGGGTCAGGAGCGCAAGTGAGCTGCCACGTTGTCTTTGTTTTGCTGCTTGGGTTTGGCTGTTCTTTTGGTTGATATTTGATCCCGGGTGTGCAAACTGGGTGAATCATGCTGTGTCGAAATTGCTGGGTTTTCTGTTTGTTGTCTTTTGCTTCTTAGTGGTGCCATGCCACGTTGTCTTTGTTTTTCTGCTTGGGTTTGGCTGTTCTTTTCGTTGCGTCTTAGTGGTGACATGCCACGTTGTCTTTGTTTTTCTGGTTGGGTTTGGCTGTTCTTTTCGTTGATATTTGATCCCGGGTGTGCAAAAAACGGGGTGAATCATGCTGTGTCTAAATTGCCGGGTTTTCTGTTTGCTGACATTTGCTTTTTAATGGTCCCAGGTGGAATTGGCACACGGAGGACGTGCATCTGCGTCAGTAGACCGGTACAGTAGCTACAGTGGAAGCAGTGGAAGACTTGGGGGGCTCTCTAGGCGGTCGGACTACAGAGGTGAGGTCTATGTTTCATCTTTCTTTCTTTTTGTGTTATGCCTATGAAAGGTGCTGAATAAGGAATGTGTAAAGGGCTATCTTATGACGTTCTTAGTAGTATAATTATCGCCTGCCGGCTTTGGTAGGCATTTTGCCGAAGGGTAGCCTTCATTTAGGGTTCGTGCTGCGGATTGGTTATCCGCTCTCCCATGACTTCAGCTTTAGGTAGAATCTGCAATGAAATTTTGACCTCTCTGCTGTCCCGGTCCGTCATGAAGGACTTGTGCATTTCCCGTGGAAGCTGCCACTACTTTGGACCAGCTGTAACAGCAGCGCCCCATTTTAATTGCTGAGATGTGGTAACGCATCTTGTTTTGTCTGGTTCCCTGACATTGTCTCGTTTCTTCCTGGCACTGGCAAACCATAATAGCAGTGCCGATTGCAGTGTGGTGAAGTCTTGCAGTTTCTGAGGAGATTTGAACTCTTTACCTTACATGTGACATCCATATCGTCAATAGCCGAGTGAGTGTTTTCGGCGGAGCATGCGCAGCGCCCCTGTTGGTAGGCATGGGTCTTGGGTAAGTGTTTGGCACGCGGAAAGCTTCTGGGCAAACCGGTAGAAGTAATCGCGGCACATACAACTGGGCTTGCGGCAGGAGCTGGTGGCCTCCTTGAGGCTTGGTACGTCAGGCGTAAATTCGGATTGCGCGTCTTTCATGTCAAGTCTTGATTAGAACCTAATGCATACTTCCTTGACTTTGCTGGGCGTTCTGCGTATTTTGTGACCGTGACTTTGCTGGGCGTTCTGCATATTTTGTGACGTCGGTTGCATTCACGGCAATTTGGCAAAGTAGAATTCGTTTCGTCGTTTCGTGCAAGTAGCACCTGTCCCGGAGAGTGAGGAATAAGGGTATTCTGTCCCGGAGAGTGAGGAATAAGGGTATTCTTTGCTGTCTTTGGTACCCATCGAATCACCGTAGGGACCAAGATGAATCAGAAAAAGAGGCTGGAGGTGTCACCCTCGCTGCAACTCGTAATAGAAAATCTGCTGAGTCAAGAGTGAAAAAGTGAGTGCTCTCGTCGATGGCTCCAGTTACCAAGAAATCACTCCAGTGGTCAGGCAAAGAGGCTCAGAGGAGCGTCCGCTTTGTGATAGGGAGAGTGCCTGTCGCTCTTAAGTGTCATGAATGAGCTTCTTCGCTGGTTTTGACGGTCTGCAAATCATCAGAGTGGCAAGGACGAAACAGAAAGAAGCATAGATGCGCTTCTGTCAGCTTGGCCGCAGGGATGCAGCACAGCATGGAACTTTATCCTGATGGTAGAGGAACTCACTGCGAGTGGATTTTGTTGGGTTTGTTCAGGATCCGGAAGCATAGTCGGGATCTGGAGCGCTCTTAAGGTACTGGATGGGTCAGGAGTTGGGGCAATGCTGACTATGGGAATGAGAATTCTCCTGGGCTGATCGTGTCTCGGGGACGTCGCCGCGACACTAGTGGTGCCACCCTGCAGATGGTGCTATCGTGTTATGGGGCTTGGAGAAGAAGACGATATTGTACGTTATGAAAACAGCCCCTACGGTTTGCCATTTAATTGTGTGCGGAAATTAGTGTGGCATTGTGCACAGAACCTGAATCTTGTTGTGGCGAGAAACGTTTTCCTTCCCTTTCTGTCTTTCCCTCTGTGCATGGTTCTCACTGCCTGTTGCTGGTGTGTGGATAACAGTTGTGGGTTTGTGTCTCAGAAGGGAACATCAAGGCCTTTCAACGCATATCTTCGATGTCATAGTTATGTGTCATCCCTGTGTGATCTGGTTGATTCTGATGAGCCTGTAACCTGCTCCGCAATGCGCTGCGGCAATGTGGGTGTGCAAAAGGTTGATCCATCTACGAGACATGTAGGTGCGCAGGTATGGAAGCAGTATATGGCGTGCTCAGCCTGACTTTGTCTCTGTTTTGTATCCACATTGTCTTGGTGTCTCGGGCTCGTTGACCGTCTCCGTGGCATTTTCACTCAGTAGATGAGAAATTTGAATGGGATCAATGGATTGAATTCCCCTGAGCGTGCTGTTTCAGAGCCTGGCTGTCTCTTTGGAATGTAGTATTTCTCTTTGCGGACAACAAATTTGGAGAGGATCATGTATGAGAATTGAATGTAAAGCCATCCGGCATCCGACGCAGTGTATGTCTTTGTCTGCATAAAGGGATTGAAAGGTCAGGGAGGCGGATTGGGACATTATGCATTTATTGAACCTCACGGAGGCTCTTTGCTGTTGAATCGACCCTGTGATGTGGAGGAAATTGCTGTGGTGAATCGGTTCTGGGGGGGAAATAATGTTAGGCTTGGCTGCAGCATGCAGATGGATGGTGGGTATGTCATGGACTGAAGGAGAGTTCGTAGTGGCTGCGGGCAAGTTTGAGGTGATGTAGATGTGAGTGATGTTGCTGGGGCCCAACGTCAGAATGTCCGGGGTGAGCGCAGGCATTGGATGCAGTCGTCTATGGTAATAGTGTTGTAGCCACGTATTGCATGTATTCTTGACATTCTGGTTTCTGATGGAAACCAGCCATGGTGAAGCCTTGGAAGATTTTTCAAATGTAATCTCTGGACGATCAGTAGCCTGGAGTGCTATGCTGCCCTTGTAAGGGCAAGGGATGCGTACAATCTGAGGTGTTCACTGATGGAGCAGAGATCTGAAATGGTCACCATGGAACTTTTTCATCATGCCTTAGTGTTTGAAGGTTGGTGTCTTATAACTGAGGTTTTCTCCTTCTGCTGTTTGTGCAGTAATGGTCACTGGGCTCCCTTCATCAGCGTCGTGGCAAGACCTGAAGGTAAGCATCTTGTTCTTCTAGCGTTTGCCGATGCTTTTTCGACTTTACCCCTTCGGTGAAATGTAGTGTATCTTGCATGCTGCAACGTGGATTGTCAATGCGTAAAATCGTGGCAACCGTGGTCTGGTCCTTTCAGACCGCTTGAGTTTTGTAATTATTTTGTGCATGAAGACGTGAAAGGCACAACGTGGGAAGGACATGAGTAGGTCCATCATTCAGCTCTCGACGAGTGTTACTGAAGGGGACAGGAGGGCTGTCGGCATGTATCTTATGATGTCTTTCTTCGTTTGAGCTCGATGAGTGTTTCTCCCAGCAAAATTGATCAAGCTTATGTGTGTGCATTTTCGAAATGAGGCTGACATGTGCAGTTGACCTGTCCAATGTAGCAGTTTAGTCGGATTATTTTTATTTTTTTTTGCTCTAAATGGGGCATGTTCGAAGCGTGTTGTGGGTTGAAGTACTGTGACCAGGAAGTTGCTGTTGGGTCTTGCTGTCTCTGGCCTATGTGTATAGAGTATGTACTATTGCGTCTTGCTGTCTCTGCCGTATGTGTATAGAGTATTTAGTATTTACTATTGGGTCTTGCTGTCTCTGCCCTATGTATATGGGAGTATGTACTATGTACTTGTGTGCTCATTTGGATGTATTGGATCTTCATGTGCAATGCATGCGTGTTGCTGTGATCAATCCGCAGATCAGAATGTTGATGTAGGATGACGTGGATGATTTGGAGTCTGTACTCGTCCTGTGCGTGGTGTTTGTGGGCACCTGTTGGTCTGGATCTCAGATGGCGCATGCATGTCTGTAATGGTTCGTCTTCCGCGCTCATCATGTGCTGTGAGACTTAAGATAGCGTTGCTCGTGTTTGTATCTGTTGGCCCATGCATGTCTGTGTGGACAGGATCACATGCGAAGAGCAGGGGATGTTTGTTTTGCCCAAGTCTTCCGAGATGGCAATGGTATGTGTTTCTGACTACGTGGATATTTCTCGATTGAATACAGGAAGCGACGGTTTATAAGGGAACATACTATCATTGACTCATCAGGAGGTTCTCCATTGAGTACAGGAAATGACTGTTTATAAGGGAGCGTGCTATCACTGACTCATCAGGAGGTTCAACATGGACAATCTGTCCAGCACCCATTTGACTAATAGATAACAGCTCACAATGTCACCCAGAATTAAGGGAGCTCTCGAGAAAAGTGGTGGAAAGTGGTATACTTTATTTGCACCAACTCTGCAACCCTAGCCGACTGTCAGTCCAACCCCTGTTGCCCTCTGTATCGATAACCCTCTATCGATGCTCTTCGGTCGCATGACAAATTTATCAAGCTCATGAAGTACCACATTCGGTAGAAGAGGGCCGGATGCTGGCCAGTGTGGTCATTTTTTGATAAAGCGACCGCTGCATGTGCTAATTTGAGGAGTTGCACACCACCATATGCTGATGTTTAACCCTGAAGAGGCGGGCGGAGGGGAGGAAGATTCAGCGGTGAATGATCTCCTTGAAATATAAGTAATTGCTGCTTCTGATCAAGCACAGAAGCAATCATATTCTAAGGTTGCTTAGAGAACTGTTGACGGTGTTTGTTATGATGACATAGGTCTCTGGCGACGTTTGGCTGGGCTCGTGTCTGCTCATGTTGGATTGATTGTCTGAAAGAAGTGATTGTGTTTACTCAACCTGTGTGTCAATTTGGCTTTGTGTACAGGTACTGTCGGGATCGTCGATTACAATAGCTATGAGGACATGAAACATGCGGTAAAAGACAGTTCTCCCTCCTGCTCCTGTTATCTCTAGCAATAGTGCCGATCTTGGTTTACTCCAAGTGAGTGTCGACCTTGAGATTCATGTGTTAGTTTTGCATGCCCGCATGTGGCTCAGATGGTATTGTTGCGTTTCTTCGTAGTTCTTTCTGTCTGTGAGTTTGTTTTGTGCTGTGTTGGGATTTTAGCTTGAGGTTTTGGATCATCTTGCATTCACGTATTCTATGTGGGCTTCACTGTGATCCCTGGTTCAGTCACACATCGGGTGAAGAATTCGAGGTAACAAAAAAGAAGGGTGGGAGAAAATGACTTCGGTAAATTATATTCAGTGGGGTACTTCTCCCTAAGTAGGGTGGTTGGCAAAGGAGCATAAGATTGTCTCAGGAAGTAGGGTGCCTGGCTCGTGTCCTGTTGATGTGATAGCCCTACCTCGTGTCCTGATGATGTGATTGCCGTAGCCTACAAAGTGTGGTTCGCTATGAGTGGGTTTCTTATACAAGAAAGAGTTGGTATGTGCAATGTGTATAATTTAGACAAGTGTCCAAGCTATGTTGTCTTTATTGGATATGAGCTGAAAGTGAGCTGAACGTGAGCAATGAGGAAAAGCAAAAGATGGAAGGAAGGAAAAGGAGAAAAAAAACTGGCGGACAGCCAAGAGGAAAGTTTTAAATTGAAGTGAAAAGTACGATGAATTGACGTGGGACTGCGAGAGGAATTGTTGTTCAATGGTTCAAGAATAGATTTGTCTTCCTGCCCTTGATGACAAGAAAGCCTGAAGTTGGTGAAAGCTTGAGGGTATTTCCTTCTGTCGGGGTGTCTGTCCATCCCTGAAGTTGGGTCATATGATGGCTGTTTCCAATTTTTCCTTCTTGAAATAGACCACCTTTCTGAATCTCTGTCTGTGGCCTACTGCGTTGGCAGGTGCGGAAGCTTGATGATTCGGAATTCCGGAATCCGTTTGCAAAATCGTACATCAGGGTATGTTGCATCGATGGCTGCACCTGTCTTTTTTGATTCGCTGATAAATACGATGCCTGGCCTTATGAATTGGAAAAGTGTCTGTACACTCTGCGGCACCCTGTCATGAGTAATATGTTCAACGCGGGCCGAGGAATTAAACGGCCGAGTTCCAGTTGAATACAAAACGCGGACCCTCCCACCGTTGTTTTTTCAACGGACAAGGTCCATGGGGTGCTTGGGTGCATGGCCGAGCACCCCTGTTCGATTAAACTGAAAAAAACAAATGTCACCCCCACCCCACCCTCCAAACATCACCCGCAAACCTCCACCGGCCCCAAAAATGAAAAATAACTGGTTGTAGCTCTTGAAAAGATGTACAACTCTCTCTCTCTCTATATATATGTGACGATATATATATATAAGGTTAGGGTAACGACTTCGGGCATGGTCAGCTCCCATAGTGTGACGGGCGGTGTGTACAAGGCCCGGGAACGGATTCACCGCCGTATGGCTGACCGGCGATTGACGATATATATACATATATTCCCCATTTTTTGACTGCGAAAAATTGTGTTGTTCCCTGGTAGACGATGCAATTGAGTCCTTTAGTTGACCTTCGTAATGTGATTTTGCGCCCGTGCCAACTTTTTATTTCACAGGTCAGGGAAGACAGAGGATCCTACTATTCCAGCCGCAGTCGTAGTCGAAGGTGAGGATGGTAGCACTCTACCTTTTGATTGCATCCATGCAAAATGCTTCTTTTGACAGCTTGTATCCATGCAAAATGCTTCTTTTGACAGCTACACCCTTCAGGGAATAAAGAATTGTCTGTCAGGAAAGGTAAATCAGTCTGTGATGTTAAAGACTGGATTGCGGCGACTGCCATGTTTTGGGTGGGGGTGTTAAGAGGTGCCTTTTCCTTAAATGCGATGCCGATAGAACTCCTCGCTAACCTGGGTGTTACACGGCGGATAATCAGTTCTTATGGAAGCTGGTTCTTTCATTTGATGCTGTAATGGATGTGCAGATGCAATGGGGATCCTCACTTGTTGGGAGGGAGCTTTTCATGCCTTGAGTGTCTACTCCAGCATCGTGTCTCTTTTCACTGTCTACTCCAACATGTTGTATCTTTTCACTGTCTGAGCAACTGACTGTGGATTGTGCTTCCACTGTGGATGCTGTGTTACTTCAGCCCCAGTCGAGACAGAGACAGAAGCCACAGCTGCAGCAGGAGCCGGAGTCCTGTTCGTAGCCATAGTCACAGTCGCAGTCGAAGCCGAAGCCGAAGCAGACCTGTACGCAGGAGCAGCAAACGTTATGACTCGCGTAGTCGGTCTGGTTCCCGATCTCGATCGCCATCTGCATCGCGTTCTGCTTCCTTGTCCAGATCCAAATCCCCGAAGTGAGTGCTACTTGTAATAAACGTATTTCATAGAATGTGGTGTTGGAGATTTTGCCAATTGAATAAAAACTAGTAATCAGCTTGTTACGACGCTCATCCACTAAAACTAGGTTAAATAAGGTGTCCTGCTGCACTGATGTATTTGGGATGCTGGTGTCCCTTAGGGGAGACGATTCACTTTCCAGTCAAGCAGGGTTCTCAAAGAAAAAGAAGGTAGTGCACGGACAGCCAAATCAGCAAACTTGCTAATAAAAAATAAGAAATACGGAATCATGAAGATACCAGGTTTGTTTACGACAGGTTAAACTGTGACCTGATGTAGACTGTACTCCTGGGCGCTCGATGCCCTGGTACATCTAACCATTCCACAACTGGACATATCCTTACACAGCTAATTTACACCCTTTTCTTCTCTAAGAAGGATTTTTCTTGTTTTACAGTTCGAATGTGTGACATGCCCGGGGTTTTGTCCTGGGAGTTCTGCAGTGGACAACAGTGAATCTTTGAAGCTGTCATTTGTGTGAAGAGCTAATGTCCTGTGTTGTTTCCCCACGCTGTTTATTTATTGCTTTGGTGTCTTAGGTTTTATGGGGTACAAGAAAGGGGGTGCTTGAAAGCTGTCATTTGTGTGGGAAACAAAATTGCCTGTCTTCCTACCCTGTGTTTATTTATTGCTTTGGGGTCTTCGGTTTTATGGGGTATAGATGAAAGGGCTTGAACTGGGAGGTATGCTGTTCATGAATGGCTGAATATCTCAGGATGTGAGCTGACATGGAATGTGACTAGCGGTTGAGAAATAGGGCGTGGATGTGGGTTGCCATGAGTGACAGAACATGGGAGATCTGGTGCTGATTGGGATGTTTGTGCGTGGTCTGTGTGCCGGTGAGATGGAAGGATCTGAGATTGTGTTTGGCCGGTTTTGGGGAGCGGTGTTTTCGAGGAGTGTGGACGACATCACCTTTTGCTCGCAACGAAAGGCTACTACCCAGTGTCAAGCTGGCCGGAAGCCAATTATGATTGGGTTATTTTTGGGGGTAGCGTTTTCTATGAAAGGCTTGTGAAGTTGTGACAATTTTCCCCCCTCCTGTGTGGTGGTTGGTGTCCCACTCTTCGGCTTTGCAGGTCTCATTCCCGATCACCTCGACGCTCGGTAAGTTCTCTTCTACTCCTTACCTTCTGTCTGATATCAGTTCTCTTCTACTGTTTACGTTATGTCTGATATCAGTTCCTTTTCCGTTTATACGGCAATGAGCTAGCAAGAGTGTTTGTATCTTGTTAAACCACCAGTGCTTGGCCCAGCTATCGGCCGCGGAAAAAAAATAGAGTAGAAACGTTTCTAGTTGGATGAAGTTGGGCGCTCCTGTAGTGGCCCGTGTACGTTTCCTAAAATCGTGGCGCGTTAACGGGCACGACTTTTGGAAGTACTGGTTGTTCAAGGTACCGGATTTGCTAGCAAGAGTGTGTATCATGTTAAGTTTCCTAGCAAGAGTGTTTGTACCATGTTCAGTTGGAGGATTTGCACTGTTTGACAGATTATTGTGTTTTGTGGTGCTCTTTTTCAGGCGTCTCCTGCTAAAGCAAGAAGCACTAGTCGGAGCAGAAGCGCCAGCCGAGGAAGGAGTCTGAGTCGGAGCGCGAGCCGCAGTCCATCTCGGTCCAAGTCCCGGTCCCATTCACGACCAAAGCTGCAGTCTTTGTCACCTGTAAGTTGCCATCTTTGATACCAGAACTCCAGTTATATTTTCGTTAACATGGGGACTTTGCGCAGTCAATTTCTTAGGTATAAATGAAATGAAATGAAATTAAACTTTTTGGAATACATCGTCTCTGACCCTTTCTTGCGGACATGCATTCAGAACCAATGCAGCTGTGGTTGTGACATCCCGAAGCAACCCCATTCTGGTACGGTGAGGAGAAATGTTCTATGTGCAAAAGTGCTCCCGGCAGAGCAGTCTCTATGGGCCAAGAGAAGAACGTCAGCGTTGCAAGTTGAATTGTGGGAGTAGTAGTCCAGTGTTGTTCGCCGGTCTGCAAGTATGTGCAAGCGAGGGGTGCAACGCAACTTTGTCAAATCGAAAAAGTCATTTAAAAATGCCAATCTCTTTTGTGTCTTGCTATTGCTCCACTTCAAAGCCAAGTGAGAAAATGTAGTGCTAGTTACTCGAGGTTAGGTGTGTGTTGAGCAAAAAACAATTCTCCATCCCTGGCATTTCATGGTGGCTGTTTGAAGTGGGCTGGAGTTTACATGCTCGCTTATTGCTGTTCACTTTTCCTGCATTCCAGTATAACCCATGGATCGCTTAATGCTTTCACTCTTTTCCTGCAGTCCATTTTAATTTTTAACCCATGGAACTCACTATTCCTGCATATTCCATTTTAACCCATGGAACTCACTTTTCCTGCATTCCATTTTAACCCATGAATCACCTGTTGCTTTTTACTTTCCCTGCATTCCATTGTAACCCATGGAAATCGATTACTGCGTATGCCTTCTGTGAGCAGAAAGCAAATGGAAGTCCGGGTCCTGCTGGTGCTCGCGTCAGCCGAAGCCCAAGCCCTGTTGAACAAGTAAGCTTGATGATTTAGCAGGTGGACAGATTGCACCAAGTTGATTCCACATCTCTTGGTGGCACTGAATTCTATTCCTATATCGTGTTCTCTTTTGAAGGTTTATTGTGGGTGCTCTCAATTGCTTTATGGATACATTCTTTGAATCGACATTCCAATGATTCCATCCCTGTCATTCAATATTTATTATCAGTACGTAACACTGCACGCCCTTGTTCTTCGGACACAGTATGGGCCTTTTCGAACCGCTGTTGTTTTGTTCTATATGTTTGGTGGTGGGCGAAGGAGAAATGAGTCAGTGAGAAATATTGTGGGGACGATGAATGGAGATGGCATGGCTCGTGGAAGCCCCGTTGTGGGGATTCATTGCAGAAATGGTCAGCCTTGCGTCATATAGTAAACAACAAGGCTCCTGCTTTTTGTGGTGTTTGGACCCTTTTTGTTATGGCGGTGGACAGGTATGAGGATCCTGAGTCTCAGGCCGTGAGGGAGTCGTTGGATTGGAGACAGTTTGCTATGAGGATGTTGAGATTGAGGCCTCAGCTCATTGATCGACTGATCAACAGATGTGTCAGTCTCCATTTCAGTGCTTTTGGGCCAGGTCTTCATGAAGTTGGGAAAACGTAAATCCCAACGATGCATTTGTGCAAGGTTATAAAGAGAAGAAATTATGCGCTTTGGTTGCTGTAAATCGGGAGTAGAGGGAGGGGTGCTTCTAACAACCTGGGGGAGGGCGGGGCGGGGGGGGGGGGGGGGGGGNGGGGGGGGAGGGAGTTGTGGATTCACGAGATTTGTGGCTGAACTTTTGGAGTTTTGCTGATACAAAAGCATGTATGGTAGTCATAACTGTTTGTTGATGAATGTTGGCACTTGAATTGATATTGACATTTTGTATTGTGTGCCTTTTTGTGGTTGTCTGCAGACTAATGGCAGTCCGAGCCGCTCTTTTTCGCGCTCTCGGTCAAGATCCCGCGGGCGGTCTCCAATGTCGAATGGGCACGATGAGTAGGCAGGAATGAATAACGAAGTACAGTTTTTGATGCACTGGATATTGTTAGGTCTGATGTGAGAAGATGGAAACTGATTTCATGTGGTCCTGTCGGACTCTACGTGGCTTTATCCCCGGGTCTGGGAGTGGAGTGAGTGCCTCCAGGTCGAGCTTTTTTTCCTCGTTTCACATGCGGCTGGTGGCTTTACATGAAGGTGCTTGTACCATCAGAGAAATGGAATTTATGAACACGAATGGAATGGTTTCACGAAAGTCATCATAAAATCTAGCTTGCGGGAATGTAGGCGGCGGGATTAGCTGATCATCGGACGGGAAATCAATTAAAATGGAGAAAACTGGCAGCTCGTTGGTCAGTATAAGAAAGCCGTACCGATGGTCAGGGTCGCAACTGGCCGACTCTGAGGTGTTTTTTCTCTTTTCTGAGAACTCAGGGAAGACCTTCTGGTTGCCTGACTGCTTTACTTGGGGGGCATTTGTGCTAGTCCAGTGTGTTTCGGGAGTCGTCGCTGATGTGGGAGGGATGTGATTTTGATGAATGAAAAAGGTGCTCGTGTTGTCGACAGGGCTTTGGGGGCTTGTAAATTTTGTTCCTGGCAAATTGTGTCAGCGGTTGTCCGAAATTCTGTTCTGTTCTTTCGGGGAAAAGGCAAGTGGGCACACGCTTGCGAGAAGTGGTTTCCCCTAAAGTAGACCCCTTGGGAAAGGGGAAAGGCAAGTAAGCACCTGATGGAAGGTGTGAAGAACATTGTTATGGGTCTCTGGTTAGAAATGTTCTTTTCTTACTTGTGTTTGTGTTTGCAAATCAAATGTTTCTCTTTTCTTTCTCATTCCATGTTAGGTCATAGGCGCATGGATCTCTGAGGTTGCAGCCAGGATTGTGACAGTAATGGTGACCTAGGAATTGATTGGCAGAGCCTGTGAGTGGGGACTTGGATAGATAGAATGTTGTGGGAACAAAGTGTGTGCTGCAAGCTATCATAACATAGACTTGCTCGACCGCTGGAATGATGTTATACATTTTTTTTCCGATGAAAGCTGGGAGCGTGTGTACTAATGGTGGAAACATGAGCTTACAACGGTTGTGGAGTGTGCCATCATTGTCCTTGTGTATCTCGCGAGTGTTGACAGGACAATTGTCCAACTGCGAAGTTGAGGCCCAGGGTCATCTATAAGATATTTGAAGGTCAGCGGTTGCCTGCCCCAGCGGCGGCACAATTGCGCATGCACTCTGCAATATAGACCACACTGTGTAACTGTCTGTAGTGCCACCTGTGCTGAAGATGTGTTGTTCGGCTGAACGTGGAAGTTGTGGTACTGTACTCGGTGGCTCTGGTGCTTGAGAGCAGCATGAAATGAAGTGAGTCTTGTGAGTGATGCGCTAATTGTGAGTCTTGTGAGTGATGCGCTAATTGTGATCAAATACCGTTCTAGTATTTGTGCAGTAAATCGACCAAGAACAGCATGGAAATTTCTGGGAAGGGAAATCGGTCATCAGAAGAGTGCAAGGAATCAGTCATTTGTTGAGAGTCGTATTTTAGGGGACACGGAGAATGAACGGGCTCGATCCAACCCGTTCAATCGAAATATCGTTCGTGATTTGATTTGAAAAACATTTCTTGATATAAGAGTAAATGATGCTTTCAGCTGTTGTGCAATACCAAGGTGAAGTGAATGGCAACATTCCCTTCGAAAAGGGAAAGTCTCTTCATTCAACTCAGGAAATTCTCATGCTATTGAAGCTTCTAACCGTACGGAACTGACATCCGCCTTGAAAAATGGGCTGGTTTGAAGTAGTGTGCCCAAGCTAAAAACGGCGGCCCCAAAGAAAGTGCCTTCCAGCTTTCTTGGCGCTCCTGTCAGGTGTTTTCTTTCTAGAAGACGGCTGAATACAAGATGCTTGACTTGCTAGGCAAGGACCCGCCCGCATGCCCACACACATGCAGGAATTGGAATTGGTAGGGGCTGCTTTCGTTTGATTTTAGAGCGAAGAACACCTGCATTGAAGAAGTGGGTGACGGAGAAGAGGGTTATTGCATGGGGTGAAGGAAATATGGTGAACTGGAGTAAGATAGGGTCTGGTGTATTGAGGAAAGTAAAGAATTTGACCCTGAGGCAATAGTTGTTGTTAGTTTCTTGTGCACAACATGGATGTCACCGTGAGCCAAAAGGCATTGAGCTTATTGTTCGGCACGACATCCTCCTTTTCTTCCGCCTCGTGCTGCTTGTTTGATCCGCGCAGAATGTGACCTTGTGGCAAAAGTCGAGTTACTCTGCACAATAGCCGCTTCCTCCTGCTCTTCCGTGTCCTTGTCCTCCATCCGCTTATTGCCCCAATTGCGCCTCAACCATTTCATCCCTGTTCTCCTTTTCTGTTCTCCCTTATCCTATTCCATCGCCGCAGCGACCTCTTTGTTGTATTTCACCCACCCTCGACCTCCTCTCTCTTGTCGTCACCCTCGTCATCTTCCATTGTCTCAATCAATCATTCAATTTAAGATGCAACCGAATTGATTGATTTCATTCAAGATCCAATTGAATCAATGATCTTCAGCTGATTGATTGAACAAAAAGGGGAGGGGTGGGGCAGGTCGCAGGGGATTAGTGGTGATGTCGTCTGGCCCCATACCTGAACCACCCCACCACCACCTCGTGGTTCACTTCTTGATTGTATGCTGACACCCCTCCCGCTCCGCTGAACGTTGTCGTTGTCATCCTCATCTGGTCCCCTTGCGCAGTCATGACTGCGGCCCCCCCCTCGTCCTCCTCCCTCACCTTGTGCTAACCTCTGCCACCCTCCTGTTACTCCATCACTGTGGCACCCACACACCCTTCTCGACATCTTATTCTCAACCGTTGTCTCACCACTCTTCCCCTTCTCTTTTTTAAATTCAATTAAGCAATCGAATCAATTGAATCACTCAATCAAACAGTCAAACAATCTATAAAACAAAGACATGATGATCTGATGGAATCGATAGATTATATTGGGTCATTCAGTGAATCAAGATGCAATTAAACCAACAGTACTTGGCCCAGCTATCGGCCGTGGCGCTTTCCCGTTAATGCGCTGCGCCCTTCGGGGTTCGGGGTACCGGACCTCAATGGCTGGAAGCTTTCCCGTTAACACCAGCCAAAACAATTTCGAAACGGTAGCCCGGCGCTTCGGCAAAAATCGGTGTGCAGGGGCATTCCAGGCTCGGCATCGATAGCTGGGCCAAGTACTGGTGGGTTAACTCTATTGATTCGATTGGATATTCATTTTGACCTATTTGATTCATTGATTGGTTAATAGGTTGGCGAAGAAGAAAACAAAGGGTGGGTTCATTGATTGGGTGATAGATTGGCGAAGAAGAAAACGAAGGGTGGGTAGACATCATTGCATGGTCATCGCCGAGGCCCCTTCCTGCTCATGCTTCTCCTCTCAACACTTCCCCCTCATCCCTCATCGTACTTTACCTCTTCCTGTTGTCGTCGCCCTCCTCTTCCTCTTTTTGTTTCTCGTCTTTCCTGTCGTCGCCGTCCTCCTCAACCTTCGATGTGGTTGTGCACCCCGCTGCTGCCTCCCCCTCATCTTCATTCTGCCTCTTCTCTTCCCTGCACTGCTCCTTCGCATCTGCACACAATATCATGAAGTAGCCGCTTTTTCTCAATTTGGTCAGATCTCGATGCTGCCACTCAGTATTTATTCAAAATGTCAGTTATACACAACGATTTTTTATTTATTCAAAATGTCAGTTATGCACAACGATTTTTTCTAAGTTTTGCTTCTGCTGCTGCCGCCGTATTCCATCCCTCGCAGCAACATCCACTTCTCGCCATCGTTGTCGCTGTGGTCGTGCCAATTGCATCGATAGACCCAATCGCAGCAACATGGATTTCATTTCAATCAAGACCCAATCGAATCTATGGATGCGGTTGGAACTTTGATGGATCGATGGATTGATCTAATTCCGCAGATGCATCATCTGCTGCAATGGGCGGAACGGGGGCACCAGCTGCTGCACCTGCTGCAGCGAATGATGCACAGATTCTGACGTCTGCTGTCGCAGCTGCTGCACCTGCTGTGACACGCGCTTAACGTAGGCTGCAAAATTCAACGAAAAACTAGAAAACAAACTAGGTGGATGGATAGTGCAATAAAAAACAAAAAATAAAAACAGGCGAAAAGAATGAAAACGAAAACAAAAACACGAAACACTACGAAAGCCTAACACGAAACGCTCTCCAAATAAAAATGAAGCGCTCGATTGAATACAACGGATTGGAAACCTTTTCACTAATAGTCTTAAGATTGTCAGAACGGCACACATAGTGTGCCCCTAACGCACCTACATATCACACGAAATGAAAAACGAGAAACAAATTCTAAAAAACGAAAGTGCATGGCAATATATGACGGTCTCAGTGCAAAAGAGGGCGAATAACTCGTTCAGGATTCCGGACAGCTCCCCCACCGGAGGTATCCCTCAGTTTTTGCCCATTGGGACGTCTGGCATTGTGGTTTTGCATATATGTCTCAAAAAGAGCAGCACCGAATTTATAGGGTGTGAAGTTCTTAGACTATTGTGAACTGCGAGTCAGTCAGATGTTTGTGGAATTTAGGGTTTGGGAATTTAGGGGCTAGCAGCGCAGTCTTACCGAGCCTACCTGCGGTATTGTTTGAAATAAAAATAGAAACAAAAGAAAACCGGAAGTTTGCCATCTGAATTCATTTAAGGAATTGTTGAAGGATTGCTTCGATTATGTTTTGGGAAAATCTGTTCCTTGTCCACCAGCTCTTTACGTTTCCGCTTTTTTGGTAATTTCTTTGAGCTTGAAGAAATCGCGGAGTTGGCGTAGTTATCCCCCTGTGTGAATTGTTATGAGGTCCACATGGAAGTGGGGAAATGGAATGTCAGGGTATAATCTGATAAATGTTTTTTTTTCTCTTCTTCATGGTGTTTTTGTGCATTTCTCTTAAACCACCCGTATGTCCTGAAATGTAGCCCGATACGTTAACAAGCCACAACGTTAGGAAATGTACGCGGAACTACAGCAGCGCCCAAAATTCAATCCGACTAGAAACACGTCTAATTTTTTTTTTTCCACGGCCGATAGCTGGCCCAATTACTGGTGGTATTAAATGGTAAAGAATTGT